TCATTTTAGTTTTTTATCCAAACATCCTGTATATTTTGTTATTTCTACATTTCTAACCCCCAATTGCACAATGTCGATCTTCTTATTTATTATGCTACTTTGTTTGAGGTTTACCCGTCCCCCTGTTTATTATGGCATTCTAATTCCTAATTGTAATTTTTATTAATTTGACCCTTAACCGGAAATTTTCTGGAACTTTCCCATCCATTTGATATAAATACACGAATGTACAGCCTAGATGATGAATACGTCGAAAAGAAAATTTTCTTCTTTGCAACCGTTTTCTTAAAGTCAAAACCACGAAATATTTCGTCAATGGGGCGTTGGATTGTTTGTTCTGCATTCCGGAAACCGAAACTCAAAAAGTCACAAAGGAGTAAAGATGGCCATTTTCGGAATATCTTTTCGGGCCATTGAGATTTGGTTAAACGCTTTAACCAAGTCCATTTTCAAGAAAACAGTTGCACCAGATAATGTTGCCGTCAAGTCGTGTATGTGGGGCAATGGATAGCATTCAGGGGTTGTGTTTGGCCTTCGCCCACCGGTAATTACCCGTGGGTCGCCAATCGTTACTATCTCTTTTGTTACCATATGTAGTGATGACGCCCACGGGCTATCCGATGGCCGAATGATGTCAAGGGTGAGCATATGGTTGAACTCATTTCTAGCGAGTCTCAGTTTTTCAGGAGCAAGTCATAGTGCTCCAGATGTCACGGGCTGTCCTGATGTTATGATGTGATGCATAACACTGCTGGTTATGCGCGGGAGATCGTCAAATAGGCAATTAAGTTCCGGGTACTTGTCAACAATCGGTTGAAAAGTTGGATCGAAAATCGCATTCTTGTTAATGAGTGACAAGCTGGGGCCTACGTAGGTGATGCCTTTGATAGACAGTCTAGTATTACCGTCTATCAGTCGTTTTCGGCAGACGTCTACTACTAAATCATGATGATTAAGTAGGTCCGTAAGCCTACGTTCAGATAGACGTATTTCCTACAAAATGCTGCAGCTGGCTTTTTATACGCAGCGTGCAAGCTGGAGATTGGTTCCTTCTGTCGATCTGCTTCTGTAGCAGGAAGGACGCCAACTTAGGCGCCTGCGTCGACTAAGTACTGGGTCTGGTTGACAACATGACGGATGCACAGTAGGCGGCTACTGCCACTGGCGACAGATGCCGCTAACGCGTGCCAGCAGGACAGTTTCCCATAATCTTCGAGTCGTTGCATACATTTCACGTTTTTTGAAAACATTTCGCTTCTTCGCCATAGGTATTGGATATCAACAGTAGTCTGGGTTTTTAAATGAACATGGTTTTGATTTTGACCTACCAAGTGAGTCTCGTTATTGATGGGTATTTAGACGAGGTATCCAGCGAAACCTTCCTTGGATCAAAGTTTGTTTCACATCCTTCGGAAATGAAGGTCATTGGCAATTCTGTGTATAATTTCGCAATAGGTTTGAAAATTATCAGTCGGATACCCTGAGCAACCTAAGCAGACTTTTGTGGGGTGTAGTTTATGGTGCAGTTAATTGCATGTAATTCTTACTGGTGAAGCTACTATCACTGATGTCCATACAGCCACCGTTGTAATTACACACATATATTTCATTTGAAAACATTTGTAGGTTGCTGGATACTATAATAACCGTAACGCAGGACTAAGGTCTATATGGTATTTGACGGCAGAACTCACCAGTGGAACAACCTGTCTGGCCTGATCAAAATGACAGACCCTTTTTAAAAACAGTAGAAACTCTCTTCGAGACTAGAAGAGAACGCCGACTGTTGCATAAACTTATTTATAAATAGACCGTTCAGACTGGAAAGATATTAGAGATATGATGGGCATAGTGATAAAGATGAATTACAGAGTTCACGTTGTCCTGAAACTAGTCTCACACAACTGCATGTCATTCAATTTTCAGTGATTACTTTGTTGCTGTGAAGCACTAACTGATGTGCGACATAGTTGTTTATGACAGCAACTAACCACTCAACATATCAATCTCTCTTTGACCAAAATGTTTCTTAACAAGACAGTGATTCTCATCCTTAGTACCACCTCTCTTCTATCGTAGGAGATTGAGGAAGTTTTTCCACTCATTCAAATATCAGCTACTTAGATTTCTTATTTGTGCTGATTGGGTCAGACGTCGGATTGTTGCGTTTCAAGTAACAAGAGCCCGACCTCTGCCATGTGGTGTGATTGTATATCTCTTCACTTTGTATATAAAATCTTTAATAGATACATCCTTGAACAGCCGTGAGGGTTATGTCCTCCCTCCTCTAGCTGAGGCGGTGTTAAAGCAACCTGGCCACCAGGTTAGGTGATTTAGATGATAAAATCTGCGGGTAGTGTGACCTGAATTCACGTCTGGCAGGATGGATTGTCACACAACAACTGAGAGCGTTAGTTCCAGTTGACGCCAACCACAAACAAGGTGAATGTTGTTCAAGCAGCGTTACGAAGTGGTTTCCAAGTGCACGACTTTATGAAATACAAGTACATTGGCTGAAACCACTTATATGACCGTCTTGTGAAGTGATAGAGGTCACTTCATAAAAAAATGTGATGTCTGAATTTGAGGCTTAAAATGAACGCCGTTCACTTTTTGCAGCATATACAGTTCAAACAACGAGGTTTGATTTTTGCTTCTTATAACTAAGTCTCTTCTACAGTGAGAAATACTGCACTAAAATTAAAAAAGGACTCTCCCATAACGGTTGCTGTTTTTTAAGAGTAATCAGAGAAAAAAAGAATATTCTTCTCATAAACATCTCCGTTATGTTCCATCATACTATATCACTAAGAGTGAAAGAGCTAACGTTTCAAAATAATCTCGAACCATTAAGATCAGCACATTGCATCGGTGGCATAGCAGTTAGGATGCTCGCCAACCTTGCACATGGACCGAGGCTCGAACCCCGGTCAGTGGTCGGCCTGCTAAATTTGGGCTACCGATATCGCATGCTGAAAATCCCATATCTGTACCTAAATACTGTGTGGAATTATAATAATAATAATTTATATTTTCATATAAACATAAATTTACATGAAAATGCATGCCATTTTTACAGGCACGATCAAGTATGATATAATGACAAATAGTAGATTGTCTACAAGTTAATAATGTTTGAACAGCTAAATATTTGATATATATATATAAATACACTCATTGTCTGACCCATGTGGTATCATTATTGAATTAAACAGTAGTCCTCCAGGTTGCGCAGGAAAATCGACTTCGTTTCGTTTTCAACCCATAGTTGTAGGCATACGATAGCCAACCAATATTGAGGTAGTTACAACGTTTACAAGGGATAGTAAGATTATCACCTTTTTTAAAAGTTCAAATTGTTGAGTTATATAGTACAAGCAATCGGAACAGATTCTTATGATTGTTAATTTGTAAATCTTCCACGAAGGTTTCCATCGAAGTTGAGCGACAACCACGTGCTTGAACGCTATTTCAGGAACAGGAGAAAACCAAAAATAATTAGAGCTTAAGCCATTTGTATGTGTATACAAAATTATGCGGATATATTGCAAATCGAATTCAGACAAGGCTAAGTTAGAATACCACAGCCAGAATCCAGGTCCTCCAGAAGTTGATATTCATATGCAAAAACTCTGTAGGGGAACACCTCATGTCAAATTATACCCGTCTCTTTGGACTTGGAGAGGACAGATACAGTATTCTACTAATTCAAAAGGCACTTTTTCTGTAAATCTATACTATTACGGTTATTGCATTTTAGACTAAGGTGTAACTTCTAGAATTTGGGTTAACTTAATGATTGGAAATTAGGATTATGGTTAAAGTTAGCAGTAGGCTAAAGAAAAGTGTTAGAAATATCAACAGATCTCAAAGTACCGTGACTTACTATCACCTGGAAGAATGCATCTATCGTGCATGGTACGATTTTTTACATATCATCTTTGTAGTAACTGAGAGACATTCTGATAACATAGGCATAACCTTTATAGTGTAAAATGATGTTTGCACTGGTTTTGGCTATGATAGTTTAACTTTTCCCCGGATATATCTAGAAATCTATTTGAGTAGGACAGGATAGAAACTGGTACTTGACATGACTTTTCTGTTCACTAGTCTCCAGATATTTTGAGCAAACTGTTGTTGTTTTCGCTATTTGGGGTATGCATTATAATGAGACTTCGGAAATTTATCATGTAGACGATAAATTGTGTAAAATTATTGCTCAAAGCTAGTCGTGTTTTGACTGGGTATACTTGTACTGAGTTATTAAGGGCTCTTACTTAGCCTCACAGATATGTGTTCTCAAGTGCAAAGGGATAAGTTCCTAGAGAAACAACCAACATGACTGGCCTAACATGGGCAGTTGCACTTATATATTAATGACCAAAACCGAATGCTTTCTGATAAAAAATATGTCCGATTTCTGAAGGGATATGTCAGGGAGCAAACATTCATTTGAAAGTAAGGCACTTGAGTACAACACTGATAGTAAAACAACCATGTAAAAATTTGGTCATTGATTATTCCTTTATCTTTTAAGCGGATTTCCATCACTGCTTGGCTACATTCAAATTCACTGTGACCACAAAAATTCACCTTACTAGCATTTTAGAACATGAGGAGCACAACAGAAAATGAAATCATCCTGATCAGTCGTAGTCAAGAAGCCGATTTGAATATATTCTTTGGATGAATACATTTCTGTCGACAGAAATCGCAAATAAAAGTAAATTTTGTGAGAAGTGGTGAGCAATTAGGCTTTTTATCATTCTATCAAGGAATGTTATGTCATCTGATAAAAAATGTCGATTTCTATTCAGCAGATCTCGTCGCCTTAATCATTTTACGCTATAGGTAGTTGCGTTATTTCGGTGGGGAATAGTCTAATTTTCTACCCGTAAATTTCATTCACGTTTCATATTATTCTCCAAGACTTATTCGTCTTATGATTTTTTAGCTTGAAGTAACTTCAAGAAACGAATAACAATTTCAATAGTTGTACTACATATCAGTTAAACAAAGAGGAAAACTTCGTACGCGCGCTTTTCGAACCTCACATCGAAGTAGGTTTTGTATTTTGGTAAGAGTTGCGTATTTTGATTGGGTATTTTGTTGTACAATGGTTAGAAAACTTTTTATTTTATTTTTCTATCAAACGACCACCAAAGCGGAAATAAGGAGTTCATTCAACTTATATCTCATGCGATGTTTCATTATATCTACATATCTGTAGCTAGCTTTATTTTCGAGAGCATTGCAGAACGTGGGACAAGGTTCCTAAGCCTGCCTCAAAAATTCTGCAGTTCCCCCATTTCTGCTGTTAAAATTTTGTGATGTGCCATAGGTCAGTGAAGTTGATATTTTTTGAGAATTATCTATGCTGAATTTCTAGTTTTCGGTGGATATTCTACTTATTTTTAAATGTTCTGATCTCAGCAGCGAATTCTCTTTCTGTGGAATATATCAATAACTTTAAGATGGGAATTTTTGTTTCCTCACAACTCAATACTAGTGGCAAGTTACTGCCCGACTGGGTGTCCTTGTCTCACGGTGCTGTAGGGTTTTTGTACGAATTCAACTAACTGAGTCCAAACAAGCTGAAGTACAGTAAAATGCTTTGTACAAATAGTCCAGTTTTATCTGAGACCATACTAGTTTAACTTGTCAGTGTCGTAGCGCTTGTCAAGTAAGAACTGTCAATGCTGTTTTCCTATATTCACAGAAGTGATAACAGGTAATATGTATGGTCATTGTTAATAATGCGTTGTCACTGCTCTTCTTGTACTGCATATCCTTCGATATAGAAATTGCTGCAGTGCGGTCAAGTTTGTGTTTTAAAAGTAAAGGTAGAAGTATGGCATGTCATATGATGCATTCATCGTGAATTCTTATAGGTGTTTTCCCACGCAGTTTTGGGTATCATCAGGTTCTGAAATAGATTTGCACAAATACCCTACATTTTCATAGTAATCAAAGTGGTTTTTCCGAAGACGTGTCATTGTTAGGTATAGGTAGTAATTGCTTAGTACAAGATTATTAATTGTATCGAAACTGAATTAAAACAAAGTAATTCAAATGAGTAAGAATAAACTGATATTAAGTAAGGACAGGTTAAAATTAGTACTATAAGGAGTAGGAATTTAATAGTGGAAAGGACGAAAAAGGCAAAATTATGTTGATTAAAAGTTACTTTCCTAATGCTGACAAACTAATTTATTGTAAGTCTAGTGACTGCAGTAACATTCTGAGTTTAGGATTTAAGATGTCGACTATGCTGGCTTCCATGGTTCGAAGTTTGGTCCCCACTCTTGTGGTGTGATTTCCGCGATTTCTCTAGACGACTCTGAAGTTTGCTTGTGAGTTCACTGGGTCCAGAATCATTTAAATAACCTAGAACTGAGCCACAATGAGGTTAAATGTTTCGATTATACGATGCTGCGTTAATATCTATCAAGGGAAACCATTGTATGAAGTTTCGATGATACTCTTGCATAGCAAATGCTGTCTACGGTCGTCATACTTAGCTCCATCGAAGCAGGTGGACAGATGGATTCACATTCATTAGGTCAGAAGTAGTAGGTTGTCCTTAGGAGTAATTGGTTTTGTGAGGAGAGAGAGAGAGTAACTCGAAGATCAGCAGCAGTTTTTCTTCAATGAACAGGACAAACGGTCTCAATATTTTTGCTGATGAGTCTTCCTTGAACTGCAGAGAAGTTCCTTAGGGACAGGAGTTATTTGATTTTGCTGGTGTACCGTTCATTTTGTGCTGAATCGTTCAAGACAGCCAATTTTAGTGATTTTTTTTTACTGTGCTCCACTCTTCTATGGTATCCCGACTGCTGATTTTGTTGATTCTGCGACTCTTTGGACTAATGTATGTAAATACACCCAACTGTAAAAGTTTGTAAGTTTCCCGTTCCCGTACGACTTTCTGTGGAAGGATCTTTTCAGTGTTGCACTGTCGCATCTTGTGAGTTAATAATTCAGGAGGCATATTTTTGATTCAGAATTCTTTCCTAATTTGAAATGGATTACAGACTTACAGCTACTGACAAAAATCTAGATCATCTTCAGAATTTTCATTATTAAAGATAAAAGTGTCATCCACGCATCTCTTGTAAAACGCAGTTTTTGATTATGACTACTGTCCTAAGAATCAGTTTAGTGCCTAAACATACACATGAGCGGTAGAGTGCATTTGCGTTTTACTTAAGAACGCTTCCACCAAGACCTGAGGCGTTGGGTACATATCCCCATTCCAGTCTTACATCAACCAATATATCTACAGTCTTGATTCTTGCAATGAGCAAAAGAATAATTGCAAGGTTCAGTCATGCAGTGGCAAATAATATGATGCATTGGAGTTTGATTTTCCTTGGGTTGCCGTGTGTTTGCAACCAATAGTTTGTTATCAAGCTGTATCGGAATTTGTTGATATACGCTTGAGAGGTTCAGTTTGCCGGCCGCTATGTAGAGCTCACAGAAAACTAGCTGCAGTTGTGCATTATGTATTTCATCAACACAAAAGTTGGATCTTTTGAATATCTTCCCTCTTCATTCCCATTCATTTCGTAATATACTACTTTGTGTAGCATTATTTTTGATGTTTCAGTTGTACTTTTTACGGATAACAATGGTATTGACAATTGTAATCATTCATCTAATGCCTTGTTAGATTGCGCACATTTATGGAGAATCTTGTTTTTGATGATCCTATTAAAGAAGCTAAATACTGGAAACAGAAAGCGGAAGAATATCACGATGGGTAACTCGCTTTTTATTTTAACCAAAATGTTTTAGCATGCGAGAGGCTCGAGATGAGCTACAAGACTTTCAGATTAGTTCACGGGAATTAGAACTAGAGTTGGAAACACAATTAGAACAATTAGAAAAACGTAACACTGAACTTGTTGTGTTATGTGAAAAGCTGACTATGGAAAAAGAATGCTACCGAGTAAGTGACTAAAATAATCATATTTTGAAATACTTAATTCCGTTGATGACTGCTAATTTTATCATTTGTTTGTAGAATAAAGTGGAAAATAATCAAGATTATGTCAATCACGAAATCACAAGGCTTCAAGAAGAATTAGAGAAATCGAAAGTAGATCGAGAAAAAATGCATAAATATATCCGCGAATTGGAGCAATTAAACGATGATTTGGAACGTGCCAAAAGGTAGGATTTACCTTTGACAGTATACCAAACCTTATACTAGGGCAACAGTGGTCACATTAGAAGATTTTGAATCGCGTTTAAACCAGGTAAGTCTGTTATTAATAATTGTTTAACGGTTATAAAGGCGATTGAGAGAAATGCATTCTTGGAAAACGAACTTGATGAAAAAGAGGATTTGATAGTAACCGTTCAACGACTGAAAGATGAAACGCGCGGTAAGCGTTATAAATGCTTTCACTAACTGTTTAAGCTTCTTTTTCTTATGAATCTTTCACTAATCATTTTCTGTGTTGAGTTTTGTTATGCGGTTAGAAATTCTCCGATCTTCGCTACACTTTTTAAAATTAAATTTTGATCACCAGGCTCGATCGTATTGCTACCATCAAATTCATATGATACAAAAGTTGTGTCAGTCACGCAATTGTAACAATTAACAGTGTATTCTTTCAAATACTTCCTGATTTTTTACAGTCCGATTTCACTTTTAAGTGTAAAAGCGATTGTTTAGTTTATTCTTAACGGTAAACAGGAAGCTTTATCTTCATAGTTTTTCAGGACGAATATGCCTCATTTGAAACGTCCAGCAGTTTATGGTGGGATACCTTTAAGCAGATAGTTGTTTTCAAAAAATTTCCTTCCCATCTTCTACAGTTTTAAACGCATGATTCTTATCATACAATGCAACTAAAAGGGGATCAAATAGAATCACAAGGGAAATAACATTAAGATACATTTTATTGAAGATGGCTGTATTGAAAGGTAGAATAGCAGGTAGTTGATTGCTGTTAAAATGCGAACATGATGGAAAATCCATTGGTACTTATGTACAAGTAAAACCTGAGGAAGAAATTATTGAGGCGTCAGATAATAGTCTTTGAATCAAAGAGATAGCTTATACATCTTTTATGTCAAACATAAATATGAAATAATACTATTAAGAAGAAATATTTTTCTAATTCGTCCCCTCCCAATTCATTACCGTTCTAAACAGTGTGTACAGTGACTGAAATAATAATAATAAAAGTGAGGCGTCATTGTATCTCTTGCAGTCCACAATTGTATGACTCCTTACAACCGCTGTATTTTCGTCATTTGTTGTATTCAAATATGTATTTGGGATCGTGTAGTGTTTTTATTATGAAATTTCTTAACAACTAAAGCTCTCTGTTTCATTTGATATCTTCGGTTATTTTTTATCCTCTGCTCAAACTAAATACAGATCTTCATCAAGAGTTGGCTATTACTCGTCGTCAGCCTGATTCCATCGCTCATCATGAAATAAGTGATGGAGATGGTACACATACTAAAAAGACTAACGCTAAGAGTGAGTCATTTTATTTTCAATTACTGTATGTCAAGTTTACTGACTAACCTTTTGGTTTATATAAATACATTATCATTTTAAAATGCTGAATTAGAAAGCATAAATTCAGCTATTAAGCACTTCTAATCAATCATCATATAGCCTCTTGTGAGAGAAAATCTGGTCATTTCGGACGTGAATTTAGCCTATTACAATGAACAATTAATAGTTTTCAAAACTCAGTTCACTTTCAACTAAAAAACTAGAGTTCTTTGTATATCCAACGCACACACAAAACACATTTCAAATGGTTGTGAAAATTAAACACTTAAAACATATTAAATCCTAACAATACTGTATTTGATTAGTAAATTATCATCACCTTGAATACTAAGTAAATTTTAATCTATCCAAAGACAGAAATCATTGAATGCTTATGTGTTATGGAAAGAGTAAAGACATTTCAGTGAACCTTATTTTACTGTTTGCCACAAACAGTCACAAGTCGATACGCACAGACCTGTAAATTTATAAATGCATTATGTATCAGATAAAAAAGACCATGAAAAGGGAAATCGTCCTTTTAGCTGAATGCTTTTTTCGCACGTCTGTACCACTGTTTCGTAAGACACTATTTGTCCATTGTAGTAAGTAGATAGTGTGCATTACTATTTTTCTTCTCAGCTTATTATATGACAGACAGATGAAAAATTTTTAACATTCTACAGAACTACCCCAGTGCAAATTAGCCCACATAAGTATAAAAACTGGGAACTGTGGTAGAGTTTAACTTCATAATGGATAGGATTTTATTTTAATAAATCACACAGTGTTGTACAGTTAAATTAACTGATGACGTTTCGAGCACAAACTATTGCTCATAATCATATCAAGTTACTCACACAACTTCTTTCCTTCATTTATATACATGTGTGGAATCGATTAGATATTGGAATAAAATTCAATATGAGATAATGTACATTCACAAATAATAGTACGAGTGTTATTAATCTATTACAATTAGATGGGAAATACGACGAGTGTTTTTACAGTCATAATAATAACACTCCTACTATTATTTCTGAATGTATAATATCTCATATTGAATTTTATTCCAATATCTAATCGATTCCACACATGTATATAAATGAAGGAAAGAAGTTGTGTGAGTAACTTGATATGATTAAGAGCAATAGTTTGTGCTCGAAACGTCATCAGTTAATTTAACTGTAGGTTAAAGGACCCTGTTGACCCAATCAAACAAAATAATATAATTTACAAAATACCCTGCAATGACTGTGAGGTCAACTACATAGGTCAAACTAGTAGGCCGGGGATAGTCAGATTATCAGAACATAAGAATTTAGCTAAGGGAAGAATGGTTGACCCTGAAAAGATAAGTAATTTAGAAAAAAGCTCAGCAATTGCACTTCACGCATTAACGAACAACCACACAATAGGGTGGGATAGGGTTAAAATTCTAAAGAGAAACATAGGTAGGTGGAGAGAGAGGTTGATTACGGAATCCTTGTTCATTGAGTGTACACCCAATACATGCAACAGAAGTGACTCAATGCAAGTACCATAAATATGGAAGATATTATTACCTCCGGTCAAATCAGAAGAGAATAATAAATAAGTTTGTTGAATTTTTTGATTTGTGTGGTTTTTGATTTTCTTAATGCTGATTCTCTAGCTTTTTCTGATGTTTCAACAACAATTAGATAATCTTTGTCATTGACCATACATTTGAGTTTTTTGATTTCATTTCGTATATTATTTAGTTTGACAGTAATTCGATGTAGTTCTTCTCTTAGACATAATCTACTGAGATGTTCAGCTGCTGACGATATTTTTCTTGAAGTAATTGGAGTGCGTATGTGCAAATATTTTGGAATTATATGATTTTTTAAACATCGACTGTTAAAAATCCGATGGTTTGTGAATCTCGCTTCTGTTTGAGAAAGTCGTGTGAGTTTATTGATAAGCTTCCTAGTAGGAAGACCATATGTATTATTGATATAAGTATAAAACTTGGACACGGTGGTAGAGTATTACTCCATAATGGATAGGATTTTATTTTAATAAATCACACAGTGTTGTACAGTTAAATTAACTGATGACGTTTCGAGCACAAACTATTGCTCATAATCATATCAAGTTACTCACACAACTTCTTTCCTTCATTTATATACATGTGTGGAATCGATTAGATATTGGAATAAAATTCAATATGAGATATTATACATTCAGAAATAATAGTAGGAGTGTTATTATTATGACTGTAAAAACACTCGTCGTATTTCCCATCTAATTGTAATAGATTAATAACACTCGTACTATTATTTGTGAATGTACATTATCTCATATTGAATTTTATTCCAATATCTAATCGATTCCACACATGTATATAAATGAAGGAAAGAAGTTGTGTGAGTAACTTGATATGATTATGAGCAATAGTTTGTGCTCGGAACGTCATCAGTTAATTTAACTGTACAACACTGTGTGATTTATTAAAATAAAATCCTATCCATTATGGAGTTATACTCTACCACCGTGTCCAAGTTTTATACTTATATCAATAATACATATGGTCTTCCTACTAGGAAGCTTATCAACAAACTCACACGACTTTCTCAAACAGAAGCGAGATTCACAAACCATCGGATTTTTAACAGTCGATGTTTAAAAAATCATATAATTCCAAAATATTTGCACATACGCACTCCAATTACTTCAAGAAAAATATCGTCAGCAGCTGAACATCTCAGTAGATTATGTCTAAGAGAAGAACTACATCGAATTACTGTCAAACTAAATAATATACGAAATGAAATCAAAAAACTCAAATGTATGGTCAATGACAAAGATTATCTAATTGTTGTTGAAACATCAGAAAAAGCTAGAGAATCAGCATTAAGAAAATCAAAAACCACACAAATCAAAAAATTCAACAAACTTATTGAAGAAAAGAACACAGCAAATGAAATTGATGTCAATGCTTCATCCTCTATCGACAAAACAAAGTGGGTGATCAACCTCTCATCAAGGGAACTAAGCTCCAGTGAGATAAAAGTACTGGAGAAAGGACTAAATTTCAACGTAACAGTTAATAAATTAAAACCAGAGGATGTCATTCCTAATATAGAAGTAGCACTAGGTTCAATAGACAAGACAGCAGCAGAAGAGATTCGAGCACAATGTGCATTAACCCTAAAAAATCAAAAGAAGGCGAAATCAAACTTGACAAAATCGGAAAGAGAAGCTTTAATTAGTCTAAAACAGGATAAAAATATTGTCATTGCAAAAGCTGACAAAGGAAACGCCACCGTAGTTTTGAATAAATCTGACCATATCAAAAAAGTTATTGAACATATTCAAACGGGTCCATATGAGGAAATTAAGAAGCCTGTAGATGCAATAATGAATAAGGTTAAGAAATCTACAGCAGAACTAATACGCAGAATGAAGCTGTCTCTGGGTAAGTCTAAATGGTTTTATTTAATGCCTAAAACTAATAATGCTAGTAGGATGTATGGTACCATTAAAATACACAAGCCAGGATACCCCATAAGGCCAATAGTAGATTTTAGAAATACCCCTACATATGAATTATCAAAACATTTAGCTCTAATATTATGCCCCATTAGAGATCGTTCAAACTCTAGGCTAACTAATTTATATGAGATGAAAAATAAACTAAATGACATTCAACTAGGGAATGATGAAACAATGGTTAGTATTGATATAACTAGTCTTTATACTAATATACCAGTCAATATGGCCTTAGAAGCAGTTAAAAAGGAACTAACTGCGGATCCTGAACTCACTCATAGGACAAAGCTGTCCATTGAAGAAATTATTTTAGGGATTCAGCTATGCCTCACATCTACCATATTTAAATTCCAAGGCAAAATATATAGACAAACAGAAGGTGTAGCAATGGGATCACCAATATCCCCTATCGTAGCAGACATATTTATGGACAGCTGGGAAAATATTGCTCTAAATACATTTAGTCCTACTCCAAAAATATGGTGGAGATATGTGGATGACACTTTCACAGTGTTAAAAACAGAACATATCTCTAGCTTCTTGACACATATTAACTCACTAGTAGAGGGGATAAAATTCACATTTGAATCGGAAGATGAACAAGGAGAGTTAGCTATGCTAGATTGTAAAATAAAACGAATAGAAGAAGGTAAACTTCACACTAGTGTGTATAGAAAACCAACGCATTCTAATAGATATTTAGATTTTAATTCGTCACATCCGTTAACTGTTAAGGCAGGCTTAGTTAAGTGTCTAACAAACCGAGCCATAGCACTAAGTAGCACAAAAAAAGACCTAAACGACGAGATAAAACAGATAGAAGAAGCGTTGGTGTTGAATAATTATCCTTTAGAATTCATTAGGAAGATAACTAAAGGCCAAAAACAAAATAAAAATAATTGTGGAACTAGTAATGATAGCATAAATAAGAGAGAATATAAGTCATCCACTGTTATATCATATAAGGAGGGGACATCTGAGACCCTACGTAGGATTCTTAATAAAGCAGGAATTAGGGTGGCATTCAAACCTACAAACTCACTCAGGGACAAGCTCTGTAGGTTAAAGGACCCTGTTGACCCAATCAAACAAAATAATATAATTTACAAAATACCCTGCAATGACTGTGAGGTCAACTACATAGGTCAAACTAGTAGGCCGGGGATAGTCAGATTATCAGAACATAAGAATTTAGCTAAGGGAAGAATGGTTGACCCTGAAAAGATAAGTAATTTAGAAAAAAGCTCAGCAATTGCACTTCACGCATTAACGAACAACCACACAATAGGGTGGGATAGGGTTAAAATTCTAAAGAGAAACATAGGTAGGTGGAGAGAGAGGTTGATTACGGAATCCTTGTTCATTGAGTGTACACCCAATACATGCAACAGAAGTGACTCAATGCAAGTACCATAAATATGGAAGATATTATTACCTCCGGTCAAATCAGAAGAGAATAATAA